TGGGGGGGGGGGGGGGGCACGGACTGCGGCTGTTGCGCGGAGACGGAGAAAGATGGAGGCGCATGCTTGTGGTATCATGATACGGTCCTTTAACCGCGTGCCTTACTTCGTTCGTGACTTCAACGTGATAAGTGAGTCAGAGTTGCAGTATCAAATCGAATAAGTATTAAGTATTACGTGCCCTGAAAGGGTGGATGGGCCTACGTGACAAGAGTTCATCTGTTGAACGAACCATAGGTGTTTGCTCGGGTGTTGGCAAGAATCACACGTGCGCTCCAGAGGCGATGTGCTGCTTGGGGTTACTTTCATTAGGCACGAAATAAACAAATTCAACAGATGTACATACTCCGCGACAAAAAAAACAAGCAACTGCTGTACCCCGTGTGTGCGTACCTCTATCGAGTAGGCGATCACCGACACGTACACCTCTTCCGCGATGCCCATCCGCGAGGAGGGGGATTGGGCCGCGCCCTGCTGCTGCCGCGCGTCGGTTATGGGTGCCACTAGCGCCTGCCGTGCACGCGTAAACATCCGCACAAGAGCGCGCATCGGAACCAAGACAAAGTTTTCTACAATAAGAGCGCGCGCGTCGCGAGGGGGGCAAGAGTCGGAGCTTGGTGACGAAAAGGAGGGGGGGGGGTTACGTGTTAATGCAAAGAGTCCGAACGGAAAAGCCACGCCGAGCAGCGGAGCCCAGCCGAGTCGAGCGGGACCGAGCATTCTCTGGTCTCAGGCACTGCATCATCAGAGGTTGAATCGGAACCCCCAGGATGCTGCGCACCGTTCATGCGACTCGCCGAATACCTCACGGTGCTTCGCGCTTGGTGATGTGAGAGCCTGGTCCGGTGAGAACCCGGCGTGCTCCGTCCCGGCTTTGTAAGGATGCGAGGTCAATGGTCTAGCGACTACGGCATGCACGACTATGAGTACAACCCCCTCCCCCCCCAGCCGCGAGCTGAGTCAAGCGAACCTGAATATACTTCATCGTGTTGTTCACGAAGAGTTCGACCGGTATGCCCCACCAACGCCCGGTGCACATGCTGGTGCTCAGGTCCAGACACACCACCAGCCGGTACTTCCTGTGCGCGAACCACAGCACGGATCTCGAAGACACCTCCAGCGGCGAGCTTGCACCAGTTCCGCCGCCGGAACCCATTGCCAACCCCCCCGGCTTTGGCGCGAGACCATCACCCTCCCCTCCGCCTGCGCGCCCGAGCGGGGCCCCGTCTGTTGCCGCCTGATGGTTGCTGTTGCCGTCGCTGCCGATGGTAGTGGCACTCCTGTTGTTGCTGCTGGTATTGGTGTTCCGCAGCAATCGTGCCGCCGCTGCTGCTGCGGCATTGGGTGCAGCTCGCTTCGTGCCCGACAAGTGCGGCGGCGGCTGCGTCTGATCCGCTGACGACAGGGCACGCCGGCTGCCGCCTCCGCTGCTGCTGCCGCCGCCCCCGCCGCCGTCGCTGGTAGCGCTGCTGACGATCAAGTTGGCATCAAGCAGCGTCAGGTCGTCGTCGTCGATGTCGAAGACGCCTGCCGGATGGCCAGGCGAAGGGGGAGAGCCACCACCCCAGCCGCCGCCACCGCCGCTACCAGCCCTCACCCTGACAGGGGCTCCAGCCGCAGCTGCCGCCGACCTTTTTAGATTGGGCGGCAGGTTGTGTGGGCGAAGCACCGGACGGCGGGAGTTGGCGTGAGCGTTATCGAGGGACACGCCGGCGGGGGGTACGAGGTTTGGGGGATGTTACCGGGGGGGTGATCATGTGAACAGGCTGGCGTGTGTACCCGTGACGCCAAGTGTCGGAAAACATGCACAGGGGAAACGTGCAAGGTGTGGGAGGCGGGGGGACCCCCTCCTCCGCCCGCCGACCCCAAAGTACTCGCAACGGATAAAATAGTCTCAATATAGACATTTGGCCGGAACGGCTTGCCTTGTCAGCGGCTGGAAGGCACGGGAGTGGAGGCGGTCGAGGTGCCAGAGCCCCCTCTCGCTCACCCCGAACCGGCGCGCATCGTGAACGAGGACGATTCCCTCCTGTATCACCTGTGTTTTCGGGCGGGGGGAGAGATTTGTTGAAGTGAATAGGTAGGCATCGAAGAGGGTATTCGCAGCAGCCGCAGCGGCCACAGCAACGGTCAGAGCATGAGGAGCAGTAATGACAACAAGTACGAAGCGTGACAGAGGGTAACTTACAACAGGGAAGGAACACAGTACACAGGCGAAGAGCTCCATATTTCGAGGCCCTAGTGAGTAGTACTAGCTTCTCAATTGTCTCAGACTCTGAGAAGAAACAGAAAAACATGTACGTAGAGGGGCGGAGGAGAGAGAGAAGAGAGAGAGAGAGAAAGAGAGAGAGAGACGCACCTTCGGGGTACATGTCCAAACACGGTCTCTTGCTCTCGGTGTCAACTGGAGCACCAAAAAATATGCAGCAGCATCTACTTGTATGTTATCGTCATGCTATCGACGCTGGGAAAACAACCATAGGAAGCTACCGGCGCCAGGCGTGACACAGGGAGTTGGCAAAAACAAAACGACACAAGCCCTCGTTTTCCAAAACGCCCTATTCGGATCCTCCAACACAACCCTATCAGGGTCCTCCCACCATGGTGTCCAGTCTCATTGGGTGTCGTGTAACGTTAACGGCAGGCGCGAAAGTTTTCAGATGGTACGCATACAATGGCCAAAAATGGTGCTTGCTAAGCAAACGGTTTGTACGTGAAGGGATCGGCAGCGTAATCACGAATTGAGACAGACAGGCTGGAGGCATACATCGACAACACTTGCTTGAGACATCTCGTCTTGGCAACAATAGTTGAGGGTTAAGTCAAGACCACTAAAATCCTCCCCTGTCATCCTAGCCAGCACCGGTGGTCTCGAGCCGCCTAGGGAATGGTTGCTGTTCATATTTATTGTGTACCATGGTACTCGTTCATCACACCCGCGGCACGAGGGGTGGAATCTACACCTAGTAATCTTTACTCTTGCCGTCCGAACACTTGAAATCAAAACCCGTTTATGTAAGGCGCAATGACTTGTGTATCAGTATCCTGCTAGTGTAATCTCTTAAGTACAAGCCTACTTTAGACTATCACCTCGTTGTTGATGCTGTCTTCAAAGTGAATGTGGTATGCTACCGCGGTACAGCCAGTACAGCAGTAAACTACAGTTGCCTTTCTACGGCAGGGCTGGCGGTAGGAAAACGAATGAGACAACATGTAACCATGTGACGCACTGATTGTGCAGCTGTATAACAGCGAGCGGAAACGTGCTCCGGGGTAGCCGAGGCAAGGTGGGGCGCGTGGCCATCGGAGCGACTACTGCTGTACACTCTTTTTGACCTTGTGAAAAAAGTGGGAAGAGAATCATACTGCATCCACCCCGTAGTCTAAGTAAGGCTCAGCAGCCGTTTTCGTCGTTCCCCCGCTCTTCTTGTTACTGCACGCGCAGGTTGCACGTTGATATTGCAATCCCCCACAGCAGGCTATCTGCTGGGACAACTACAAAACCCACGTCCCAAAGAGCAAGGCGTGCCTCTCTTTACTAGCATGACGCATTTTTTCCATATGCAAAAGAAGTACACATATCTGCCGTTGAACACACCCAAGAGTGCACTTGCTGCACATGTGTACGATGTATCGGAAAGAATCAGCCCGCCGCCAGTGTTGCAAATACACACACCTTTACTTCTTGCCGGGTCTCGTCCACAGATGCTTGTTCGCCAGCACTGGTACTGCGGGAGAATGCTGGGCTACGGATGCCATCCTCCATCGCCAGAGGAGACGCACGGGAGGTCCTCTCGGTACTCGGTCACCGCACTGCAGCTGCAGCTTGATCTCTGTGCTCTGTGCTGCCTCTCTCTCAATCTGCGGCACCCCATCCCCCCAACCACTTAACCAAGCTAATCCTGTCTATGGGGCCTCCAAACGCGCGGCGACTGCACTGCTGCTGCCGTACTCAATTTTGCCTTAAGAATCACAGAGCAGTGTTACGCCGGACGAGCAGCGAAGAGAGCGCAGCCAGCAGCGTGGCAGGCATGGAGCCTTTCGGGTTTGAATCGGGGCCGAGCCGGGCGGTGCAGACGTTCCAGTCGCACGAGGAAAGCTACCATCGGTGCTCGATGTCGATCAACCGCGCCATCAACGGCATCCAGCTGAACAACCTTGTTGACGCCGTCGGCGCGACCTCGCTGCCGCTCGACCTTCAAGAAGCCGAACAACATGTGCGTGAGGGTGTACGAAGCGACCTCAGTGTGCCTCTGCGGTCGCTCTGGGACGGGGATAGCTGATGATGCTGTATGTGATACGGCGAGAAAATGTTTTGGCAGTATTTTGAAGTTCCCCCTTGTTCCCACTTCAACACGCCCCCAAAACACAGCTTCTCAAACACGTGAAGAAGCTCTGTTTCCCAGTCGTGGCGTGTATAGTACGGCTGCTCTGTTGTGCTATGTGTCGTGAAACCACGTGCGCGGTCTCGTCCAAGTCCAAGGAGCAGCAAACCAAACAACTTTACCGCCCTGTTTTGTGTACTGGTGCGCAGACCTTTCAGGAGAAACCAAAGAGATTTAGATTTCTCCGCATTTCGTTCGCGTCGATTCGCGAGTCACGAGTCACGAGTCCAGCATACCGTAAGTGTACTGTAATGGCAGTCTTTCTGTGTTTGTACAATATTTGTGTTTCCTCATGTGTATAGATAGATACCAGTTGTCATGAAGGAGGAACGAGCTCCGAAGTACCTCTTGCTTGTTTGGGACAGCCCACCAAGTGCACACAGGCAACTCATGTCTAGTCTCCGAAACTCCACTTTGAGTCCATGCTGCTGTCTTCTAATTGCCCAAACGGTATGTCTTCTTCCACTCCTCACAAAACTCAGATTTCAACGCCCTTTTTTCTTCACAAAACCGGAAATGAAGAAAGAGGCACGATTTCGAATTTTTTCCAGTCGTCAAGAACCAGAACACAGGAAGAGGAAGAACACCCTCTCACTTTATCAAACCTGTGCAAGACAGGAAAACAGAGGAAAAGAGAGTCTCCTTTTGAGACGCTCAGTCATCCGCCCGCGCCCCCCCCTCTGCTCGAGGGGCGCCCGCCACCGTCCGTCCCGCTGGGATTAGTTATTTCCCCCTGTTTGTGTCTCTCTTCTTGCGCTTGTCTTTTGTTGAGAAGCAGCTGACTAGTGGTCTAGTGGTTATCGTGCTTCTCAACAAAAGTTAATGCCCGTGTCCGGTGAAGCTGTTGAGCCACGAACACGTCCCCCCAGGATTGCCATCCCTGTCATCAGCGCTGTGCTTGCTAGATCGATCCAAGCAGGTCATCGGCTCATTCCTCTATGTGTTTGAAGGCTACCGATCCCCACTCATGGATGTGTGACAAACTGCCAAGTTGCTTTTCTTGCCATACCTCTAGCGGTGCCTTGCCGTCCAAGACATCCGTTGGCGTGCGGTATACATGGGGAGGGGGCACGCAGACCCTATCCCCAACCCTAACCCTAACCCTACAGCACGGATTGAATACTTTATCCCATAGGTTTGCTTAATCAAGTTTGCTGCGTAGGCTACTGTTCGTTTCGGGTAACAAATCGCGTCTCTTGGAGGACTTTTTCTGGGATCCATTTTTCTTTATTCCTACTTCGTATCATGGAAACATGTACCCTGTTTTGGGGGGGTAGTCGTGACCGCGGAAGGCCAGCACGAATACTAGAAGGTACTTAGCGGGGACCGGAATGGTTTTTAATTTGAAGACAACAACTATTTAGACCATGTGAGTGCCGGATGTTGGGAGAGAGCATGAGCGTGGCGGTCGATGGTGGTTTTGTGTGCGCTAGCTACTACCTGCAAACATACGCTATCCCAACCCTACACGACGCTGCCGCTGCTGCGGTAGCGATTAGCCAGTCTGGCGCGAGTTTCCCAGGTGGTAACAACGCAAATATATTCCCTCCCAAGTGGACCCATGACGGCGTATATTGTGCCGTCAGAGGGGTGATGCAAGATGACAACAGTAGGCAGCAGGACCAGCCCACAGCTGGCTGCCAGCTGCCAGTTGGTTGTGAGGTTTCCCAAGCTTTACCAGCTCACACTGCTGACGGATTTTTTGCTCGAACAGCCCAGCGAACGAACCTCAACGAACCAAAAAGAAAAATTCACAATCTGTACACAGTCTACAATTGCGCTTGCTTAGCTGCTTTTCGATCGTGTTGTCTCTTGCGTATGCAGCTGCTGGTTGTAGACGCCGCCCCCGATGCTGGCTTGAGACACCAACGCCTACCGCTGCGGACAATGCTGCGTCACTGCAGTACCCAGAAAAAAAGTGTCATGCATGTCAACCACCAAGCCAGCCTCTACCAACGCGAATATAGGGGTCAACAAGAACACGACCAAACGGCACTTTTTTTTTCTCTATTTTTTTTTTTTTCCGCGACCGCCGCTGCTGCCGTGATGATGCAGGTGAAGGGCATGGAGATCGAAGTCCGTTCGATGAAGGGCAACGAGCGGCGTCAGTGCCAGAGCAGAGCCAACCAGTGCCGGGCCGACTTGAAAGCTCTGCGCAGGAGCATAGACCAGGTGCGTGCGCTCATTCCAACTCTATGTATGAGCGGACAAGAGCATCGACTACAATACCGATTTACGCCCGCACTCGAAGAAGTTGGCAGTTAAGACCTTCATTCTCAGCGTTTTTTCAAACGCTGGAAACTTGAGCACCGTTTTTGCGAGCCCGACAGAGACCCCCTGCACTAAAGCCTGTGTGTATATATATATACAGCGGCCATTTGTAGCCCACAAGAGGAACTAAAACCCACAGCCTCGACCAAAAGTGCAGGCGCTTCTTGGAACAGCACTGCTGCTGCTGCTGCTGCTGCTGCTGCTGCTGCTGCTGCTGCTGCTGCTGTGGCAGGCAGTTCTGTTCGTTTTTTTTTTTGTTTCGCGGAGCTATCGGCCTCTTCACCCGAATGTTGTGTACAAGTGCGCCCTCATTTGGTATTTCCTTGTGTCGTTTGGCGGGGGTAATGAGGTGGTACAAAATGCGGGCGTATGCCGGTTTTTACTGCACCGCAAACGAGCTGCGGTCTGCAGAACAGCCGTGCGGTGCGGTGTTGGCGGCGGTTAGACATATCATTGGTCCCTCTCAAGCAGGATACAGTACAATAGCGCGTTGAGGTATCTTTCAAGGCCACCAGCAACCTCCCCCACCATTGACTTATTTCTGCTCCTTTTTTTTTTTCGTGTTTTGTTGTTTGCTGTTGTCCCACTTTCTTTTTTTTTCGTTGTTGTTGGCAGGCAGGGCAGCGGGCCCAGGCGGAGGAGCTGATGCGTCGAAGTGGCGGCGGGGCAATCGGAGGGGGACCGAGAAATTTCTCGGAAAGCGGTGGCGACCTAGGGGGGCTGGGCCCGGATCTTGCGCAGCAGAGTCTCGCCAGGTGAGTTTTGTTATTTTTTACTTTTTTTATTCTTGCGTGTGTACTGCAGTTAGGGCCGGCACCTTAAGAACACCTTATTTTGGCCGAGGCTCTTCGTGTTTTGTCTGTGTTGTAGACTATATAGGTTTCAGTGTGGGCTTCTTGACTGAGGACCTACCTGTTCTTATGGCCAAGTCTTACATTTCGGAAATCATGAGACTAAAGTTCTTGAGCGCCGGCCGGTTGTGCCTTCCTCCTGTGGGACCCCGGCTGGTGCGTCAAAACATGCACCGAAAAACGTAAAATCACGACCGGAATGAGAATGCAGGGGACAAAGAAAACACGGACACACACGTTCAAACGTTTATGAGCTATGCCTACGATGATGTAATCCGCCAACGTCGCGTTGTGATATAGGATTGAAAATGGCGAAGTCGAGTAGCACCCTCTCCCCATCCAATCCCAAACCCGCATGGATCCGCGCCCCGTCCCCAAACCCCGATCATTATGAGAAGAACATCATTATGAGAAGAACCACCCCTTCCCGGTGTTGCCCTATCGGGCGGGGACGTTGCTTCGTGTCGAAAGGGATCGATGATCAATGCTCACGACGAATTATTCCAGCGAACCAGCACCCAACAAATTTCACACACTACACTACACCGGCTGCCGCAATAAGAAAACCGTTTTTTGGAGCAGCGACCACCCAATATTTGCACACGTGCTTCTCACGCAAAAGTGTTGCTTTTGGACGCACGCATATTTTTTTTTAACATTGAACACCCGACATCTGTACCCACCGTTCTCCCGCAAAAACAAAAAAAGCAGGAGTCGATTGAGTCTTCAAGACTCTCGAAGAGTGCTGGAGGAGACCGAGGGCATCGGGCGCGGCGTCATGGGCGACCTGGAGTCGCAGCGGGAGTCCCTCCTGCGCTCCCGGACGAGCGTGCGAGACACCGGGGCGGCCGCGGGGCAGGCGCGGCGCCTGCTGGGGTCTATCTCCCGTCGGGAGCTGAGACACCGGCTGTGCCTCTACGCTGTCATCGCCCTGCTGAGCGCGGCGATCGTTTTCGTCCTTTACCTCAAGATCCGACGGCGAAGTCTCTTGTGAAAAAAAAATCTCTCTTTTTGTTTTTTTTTTTGCGTTTTTGACACCCAGTAGGATGGATTCGTGTAGGCAACGGGTGCTCAACACATGACCACCACCGTGAAGAACGGCTGTCCTGCTGGTGAGCTACACAAGGGGAGCGAAACCCTCTCCGTCGAAGACAGTCGCATCGTAGGAGCTTGATTGGAACATTCCGTGTCATGGTGACTGGCATCGTCGGCGAGGCTAAGGCAGAAATGTAAAATCTCGTTGTTCTGGTCGGTGGGGAATACCCCCCCCCAGCAGGGTGTGGGGTGTGTGTGTTTTGGCTTCTCGGCCGTGTAGACTCTCTCAGAGAGAGGGGCTGAGGACGTCGTCCGCAGCACCGCACGACCAGTACACCCGTCTACATACACTCGGTGTGCGTGTCGTACTTGACACCCCCCCCCCATCCATCCTCCACAACGTGCTTGGCTATTGAGTTTGGAGAACATCGTTTTTTGTTGGACTGGGTGTCGGGAAACGGGTTTGCATGCAGATGCAGGAACGTTTGATGCGTGGTGGTGGCTGTGGCTAGTCCGGCCGGCAGGCCTCGTTGGTGTGTATGTAGCTACGTCGCGAGGGGCGGCCAGCCTTGGTAAGTGTCGTTGAGTTTCGGCGCACAGATCGGTGTGTGGGGGGGGTTACGACCCTGTGTGTGCGCGGACACGGAACGACTCTTATGTAAATATATTTCACTACACTCACGCAGTACTTGGAGAGAGATTGTCCAATTATTCTAGACGCGACGGACACGCCCGTGTCACACTCCGTCTCAGGGTTAGGTGGGTGCTTGCTGTGCATACTCGTTCAACGAGTGCCGGCTACGTGCCTCCCGCATGCCGCCAACCAGGATCACGCTTGGGTAGAGAAGGCGGAAGGCCTCCAGTGAATACCAGTGCACTTTTCTTTCTGGCGCGGATGAGAGGGGAGAATGCATCAGCACGCAATGGCCGACCAAACCCTTTTTCTGTCCTTGCACAGCCTTCAACGCACTCAACTCCTGTGTCTTGCGACCACCACGCAGACGCCATGCACACGGAACAAAAATCGTATCGACCGAGGCCGACAAGGAAGGCGGAGTGATCCGCGGGAAATAAGTGGTGCAGTGTCTCTCCCTTGTGTTCCAAGCACAAAACCGTCGTCCAATCCCCTCGGAGAAGAGGGACGCCCCGACTTGGCAGGCGTGTTTTTGGCGACATTTGTCTTTTTCATCAGATCGTCAACCGGCTTGCTACTAACGCGGTCGAACGCCAATCAAACACACATTTCCATGACTTTTTTTTCATTGGTCAGCCGGTTGGAGCGGTGGATGTCCGTAACAAAAATACACACACGATACAGAGCGGCCGGAGGCTTGGCGAGTACCGTAGGGGAAAAGCCAGCAAGGCAGCCGAGCCCGTTCACTCGGATTGGTCGCGCAACATCCAAAACGTCGTCGATTGATCCACCGAAGCGCGCACGCGCCCGAACCCAACCCTCCATCAAGCGACTAGAAAATAACGTTTCCACGTAAAAAATAACGTTTCCAAGGCGAGAAGGTTTGGGAAGAAAAATGTCGAGAGGGAGGCGCATACACAACACAATATAGACATCCCGCACGAAAGAACGCGGACTACAGTTAAGTCAGGAGGACGAGTCCTGCGCAAAAAAGGGCGGCATCACAGCAGCCTGTGAACGTTTCGCAGCAAAAAAGTAGTTGGCAACTAACTTGGCAAGACGAGAATGACATCATCCATGTATACTGGCTTCTCGAGGAAAACGCCTGCTTACCACAAGTTTTTTTTTGTCTCCTAAGCCTGATAAATACCCCTTTCGGTACAATAGCCGGCCGCGTCCGTTTTGCCGGCCTATAGCGGGCCATACAACAACAAGGAATCTCAAAGAAATTAAACACGCACATACAAATATCCACGCACACCCTCCACAAGCGAGAACGGAAGCAAGCTCTTGTCCCTTCTCTGTCTCGCTCATCCTGTCAGAAAGCGAACAAAAAAAAAGAAAAATCCACACCAATACCGCATCGTTTTCCGCTTCCGGCAAACAGCCGCAGAGCAAGAGCTGCTACGCAAGTACCAAGTAACACGACCGGGTGGGGGGGGGGGGTGGGAGGATTGCGCTGGGCGATACGAGCGCCCTTGGAACAAAAGTGCACGCATAGCGCACGATTCACCGTGACAAATTACCCCCCATGCATGTACATGTATCTGAGGCGAGTGCGTGAAACAAGGGGCGGACGGAAACGAAAAAACGAGACAAAAAAAAAAAATGAACACAACACGACAAGACATGTTCCCGACTGGTCTATCATTAAAACTCGACGCTCTCCATTTAACGGCGTCTTCTTGCCCCTTCCCTTTCCCTCGTCCCAGCTACAGACCGATGAAGGATCGCATCCCAGAGACAACCAACCAACCAACGGCAAGTCGGCATTGTGACAAGTCACCAACCAACACAAACGTCTACACTAGTACTTCTACAAACACATCGTACACGCGCGACGCGGCGCCACAGCACCAAAAAGAAAACAAAGCATGCACAACAGACGAGGGGGGGGGGGGGGAAGAGATCCGCAACAGCATACGTCGGGGCCTGGCGTGCCGGAAAGAAAAAGCGAAAAAGGGACAAGGGACAAGACAGGAGAGCAAGGAGGAGCGCGAGAAAGTCGCGCAGACGACGGGACTGGCGGGCGGGCTCTGACGGACGGACGGGACCGTGGGCCCACCGAAAAAATGGCAAAAACACCACAGCAGCGGCGGGCCACAACGACCGCCGTGTCCTCCGCCCCCTCAACCCTGCCTTCCTTTCGAGCAGCAAAAGTCGGAACCGCAACTCAACTAAGGGTAGCCTGAAAAAAGGCTGCGAGAGGATGATTCCACGCTGCAGGAAACTCTGCCTACACAGCTTGGTGGTGGTGGTGCTGACGAGTCGTGTCGTTGGTTGGCCCTCACGAAAAGAAAGGGCAACAGGAACGATCGACCTCGAGCTGAACCGAATGCTGCCACAAAAACACTTGGGCCGAGATCTCCCCCCTCCCAATCCAATCTTCTCACGTTACCCACACACAACCCGACCAAAACAAGAAGAAATGGCTCCTCTTCCCCAGGATAACCTATCCCTGCGCGGCACCATCACCAATCTAATCAACACCGAGCTTTTTCCTTCTCACCGGCACAGCCGTAATTCGGCCAAACAAACCTCACGATCAACGACGAAAATCTCCCAACAACCTCGACGAGCACGCATCGCATCATGAGCACACTCGCGGGTAGGATCAAATGAACGGACCGACACGCAAATAACACCACAAAAAAAACACTAAAAAGACAACACAAGCATAGCATTGCAAAACCGTATCGTTTGCTGTTGTCGTCGGCACATTAAAAAAAAACTTCCGGTCTCCTGCTCCAACACCCGTACCGGTCCAACTGACGCGGACACCGCGCGGTGTCGCAAAGCCCCAACTACACAAAAGTCTAAGAAAAAAATAGAAAAAAAATAGATTACTTATAAAACAAACTTCACTTCACTTCACTCGAACGCGTAGACTTCCACGCAGGTGACCGCGAAGTCGGCCGTCGTCGGCCCTACCAGCCTCTCGTTGCCGTACGTCTCGCAAGCGTCGCTGCTCCCTCTCGTGAGGTCGTTGTACAGCTTGAGGCCGCAGTTCGACGTCACTGGGCTGGACCCCTGTGGGACGTACGCGTGGTAGGAGGCAAGGTCGTCATGAGAAAAGGCACCGGTGTATGGTACTAAAAATATCGGTGCTGATATTGTTTTTTGTGGGATATTTATGTCGGCATTGGCGGGAAGACAGCGGACGGCGTTTCATCTCAAGTGAGGGAAGGACGGGTTTTCATCATTTTCCTTGGTGTCTCGAGGGTTGCAGTCACGGTCAAAAAAGACTTAAAAAAAGAGAACGTTGGTTGATTGCACCGCTCAGTGGAGGCCAAAAGCTTGATGCCACCAGCGACAGCGGCACCAACAACAACAGCAGCAGCAGCAGCAGCAGCAGCAGCAGCAACACCACAACCAACAACAACAACAACAACAACAACATCAACAACACCTACATCAACAACGCTCACTGGAGGCCAAAGGTTGATGCCAGCGGCGACAGCAGCAGCAACAACAGCCAACAACAGCACCAACAACAGCAGCACCAGCACCAACAACATCAACAACACCACAACCAGCACCAACAACAACATCAACATCAACAAAGCAGCACCAAGAAACATACCATGGCGAGGAAGTCCTTGGTGGTCATCATGAAGCTCTCCGTCGCCACCGATGGTGGCTGCTTCTTGTGGACACTCCCCAGCCCGAACGACTCCGACCGCAGCATGCTGCCGCGCTGTTTGTGACTGCTTGCCGATCGCACCTGCAGAGCAGAGCACCCATCACCAACAGAAGGTACGGGAGCATGGCGCACGCGTGGTTCACGTTAAAAAAAAAAAGGCATGCATGGAAAAGGCGTGGGGACCGATAAGAGAAGGAGGACGGCTGTTGTATATTGCAGTTTTCGCGGCGATGAAAACATTTTGCAGTCTTTTAACAACCTTTCTTTGAAACAGCTCAAAAAATAAATGTGCGAGTCACACACCGTCCACCGGAACCGGTCCGAGATTTTTCGAAGCGAGATCGGTGGCACTCCGAAAACATGAACACCCACATGGAAGGGAGGAAGTCCTGAACCACTGCCACGGAAACGGACGGCCTTTCGTCGCAGAAAAATAACAAGGTGGCCTCACGTATAGAGGGGAGAATTCTGTGAGACCCCCGCATCAATCATACGAAGAGTGGGTGAGCGTGAGGCACCTACATAGACAAGACTGCTGTAGCAGAGAGAGAAAGGGGCAAGAGAACCGGGAAAAAAGCTAAAAAGTCAACATACCGAAAGGGGCGAAAACCGTGGGCTGCACAGGCCCAAATTTACAGTCTACAACAAATTTCGGCACGTGGAAGCAACTTCTAGATGTTGGCAGTCTGGACGGGAACACAAGCCCCGTACGGGAAACCGGCCAGCACAAGCAGCCTTGTTTCCCCATACGCGAACGATGTTGCCAATAGAAAAAAAGAGGGGGCGCTCGATGGACACACAAGTCGAGATGTATTCTCGTTTATTGTGTGGCTCAGCAACCACAAACATTCATGACGCTCATTGTTTGGTAACAGATTGTCTGTCAAGAAGGGCACCAAAGAGAGTGGAGTGCTCCCTGGATTGGTGAGGTGATAAAACGTTGATTCTTGCGTGACCTGGAGATAGATAGCAAAAAAAAAGCAGGCAGTCTGAGCGCACAGCACTCGGCGAAACCGCATAAAACATGGAACGCGCACGCTCACCTCTCTCTTGCTGGCGGCGCTGCCTGAGCTCTTCGCCTCCGCGTGTCTGCTGCTCTGCCCTAACCGGCCGCCGTGCTTGCTGCTGCCGAGCGACTCGCCGTTCCCGCCGTGCTTGCTCTCACCCTTACTCCAGCTAAGTGTGAAGCAGAAACAAACAACAGAACAGATAACGGGGGATAAGCATGTGGCATACAACGGGGGGGGGGGGGGAGGAGGTACTCGTGTAAACGCATGCCGCAGCCGATCAACCATTGACCTCGCATCCCTACAATGCCGGGACGGAGCGATATGTATGCCGGGTTTTCGCCGGCCCAGGCTGCGTTTCACAGTGGTGACTCAGAAACTGGTCAGCATCCATGGGTTTGCTGCGCCATCCAGACATGCTGGAGGGGGGGGGGGGGGAGGGGGGCGGGGGGTAGCGCACGAGCAAAAACCTCCTCCCCGAAAAAAGCGAAGGCGAGCAAGTAGCACTTGAAGGTCATGTGAACGCATGAATGAATTCGTTGCCACGCTACCCTGTACTCTAATCCACGTACAGCAGCGAACTTCTCCTGCAAGTCTGAGCAAACAAATGAAAACAAAACAAAACAGCGGTCCCGGTATAGTCCCAAATTCAGAAAGGGTATCAACGGGGGTGTACTTTCCAACTCTTTCGAAGCCCCCCCAGACATGTCAGGTCATCCTTACCGAAAACCCCCCAAGATCAGACCAAAACGAAATCATTAGACATATGGAGGTCAGCATAACGGTACACACCCATGAAGCACAGGCACGCATAGATACTAAGAGAGTCAGATTTCCACCCAGTTTTTGAGAAGTTCCATTAGACAAAATCAAATCAAATCAAAGTCAAACCCAACCCACACACCTGCTGAGCGCGTGGCTGCTGCTGTGCGCGCTCAAGGCCGCAAGACCCGTCCCAGAGGAGCGATGTCTACTCGCGTGGGGTAGGTGAAACCCTGTCCCCGTTTGCTGTCACAGCGCAAAGCAACGACAGCAGGAGAAACAAGTTGTGCGCGGGAGGGGGGGGCGTACTCATCATGTTTAGCATGCCTTAGCTGTCAGACCATTGACCACGCATCCTCAAGAGGACGGAACCTACGGAAATGTTGATGTTCACACCGTACGGGTGCTCCACGCTGAGGGGGGGGGGGGAAGCAACGTTCACGTGGTGGCTATAAAAAAACTATAAAAAAATATGAAAGGCTGTGATGTCTCATGAGGTCACCTACGGTACATCTTTTTCTACACTCGTGCTCGAAACGAACCTTTTGCGCGTGCTGCTTGATGATATCCGCGGCAACGGCGCCCCCCTGCCATCGGCAGGTGGTAGGTTGCGGGTGGAGCCGAAAGAGGAAGCACTGCCCGTTGCCGTACATGCCGCCCTGCGACTGCTTCGCGTGAGGGTACTGCAAAAGAAAAATGAACGGGGGTGGTAGAAGGGGAGCAAGGGAGAGCTTTAACGAATCCTAACCCTAATCCATATCCTTGACTTCCCCAAAGGGAAGGAGGTGGGATCCGATACATTGACCGCATGCCTGCAGGACGCGCATCAAGGCCGCCTTCGTCTGGCATGCGAAAAAAGACAGGCACCACACATATTAGCAGCAGCGGCAGCAGCCGCTAATCTAGTCTGCAGCGTTCCCATCTTCCCTCACCATCACCCGCCCCCCCCCCCCCCC